TAAATAAATGCAAATGAAATTCAGCGCAAGTTCCCCACCAAATGATATCTGATTAATGATTTGGAGCCTTGCTAATTTCCAATCTTTTTTATGCTAGTATTTTGTATGCTTTTGAAATAGTTATAAATCAAAATTTTCATGCAAATCTCCGCCGGATTCGCCCGCCCCATACGGGGAGACCTCTCAAATGTATGTGTGGAGAACGCGTGTTATTCAAATTTATGCACGAATTCCCATGGAACAGAGACAGAGACACAACACTCCGAGTGCGGAGCTGGCGCAGAGAGTTCTTTGAACTTTTGGCTGCGACTATAACGATTATGTCTTCATAGTAGGTTCAAAAAGCTAAGCTCTGGAGCTGAACCACGGCCTCAAGAAACGAAAACGAAATAACATCATCATGACATAAAGGCAAACTTCCAAAAAAAAATAATAAAGAAAACAAACTAACTAAAAACTCCACCGACCGACACCGACATAAAAGTTCATTCGCCTCACGAGTAGACAAATTAGAAAAATTAATACGCCGCTGACTTTTCAAAGACCTCCCGAAGAACCTCTGCTCACACTCACTCTCCCTACCATTCCCGAAAGAGATGCCTTTCCCCCACCGACACAACGAAAAGCCGAAAAATAAAGAAGAACACATCAAAAGTGCGTCCAAAATGTTGTTGTTATTTTTGTATTTTTCTTTCGCTGTCGTTTCCATTTGCTTTTTATGTAAGCAGCAAGAGAATGTAACAAACTTTTGGTGGGTCTGAACTTTTGGGTTTCTTTCGGAGAGTCGGGGTAGCCTCTATGTATATTAAGTTCTGTTCTGTACTGTGGTTCGTTTTGGGCAGTTCATTGACCAGCAGACAAAAGAAGAACCTACAAGAACCAAAGACAAAGCACGGCCAGAAGAGCCCCGAAATGGCAATCCAACCAAATGAACTTTAACACAAAAGCCTAGGCGGGTTCTCTGGCTAGAACCCAAAATTACCCAACTTGGAGAAGAGAGGGGAAGAAACAGTTAAAGCGAGAGAGAGAGAGAGAGATGCAGGTAAAGACTCAGTCGGTCATACTTTCAAATTGCATTAAAGCAGAGGATGGGGGAAAGGAAAAAAACTGCAATCGGTGGACTGCAGTCAGAAGAATGAAACGAAACGAAACGAAACGCAAGAAAGAAGCGCAGAAAGAAAGCCTTTCTTTTTGCATTGGAAAAACTGGTTGCAAATGCTGTAGTAAAGGTGCGGGGGGAGAGGAATGAAGCTGGAGATGGAGAAGGAGAAGGAGAAGGAGAAGGAGAGACACACACAGAGATTGGCAATGAAAGTATCTGGCGCTGTTTGGCCACACTCTCTTGGCCGGGCCAACAGCTTCTCGTGCGCGCCGTAGAAAGAAAGAATTCTTCTACTTAGATTTTTGCGGAAATGTTCGTGTCGCTGTCTCTTTCTTTTTGCATCTACCTGTCTCTCTTTACTGTGCAGTTCAAGTGAGTACGTTGAACTTGGTCTCTCTGTACAGAGAGAGAGGAAGAGAGAGAGACACACACAGGCAGAGACAGAGACAGAGACAGAAGTGGAGTAGCAAAAGAGATGACAAATAATTAAATGGCAGCAAAAGAAGCAGCAACGCCAGCGGCAGGTTTCGTTACAGATTTCGGTTAAGCGATAAGACCACAGAACCATAGCCAGAAGATCATCAAAAGGCTATTACAATTGCATATAATGGTGGCTGCAACGCGCTGGGAATTCTAATGCAACCTTTCCCTTCCCTGTGCCTCTCGGGTTGCGGTTGAACTCGATGTTTTCCATGGATAAGAGCTGGAAAAATTCTTAAATTGCACATTCTCTGAATGTCTGTTTTTGAAGTAGAACAAAACTGAGCAGAAATTATGGTGAGATAATCTAGGAAATGCTAGGCAAAAGCACTTGGAATGTACTTGTAAAGTGAGTGCTGGCACAGGCAAAGAAATTGAGGGAGAGCTTGGGAGAGGATCAAAGATGCCTTAGTTAAAAATCAGGTGCCCAGAAAGCAGTCTATGCTCAAAGCTCAAACTTCAGTCTCCATACATTCCTAGAATAATAGAGACAAATCCTTTCTAGGATATCTGTGCGGCAGCTTCATGTTCATGCCATTCTTGACTTCTTGCCACCTTCTACCAAACAAAACACCTTCCTAAAAAAACTTCCACTAGCCTCATCAGTGGCCCACTTAAGCAGCGGGAGAGGGAACTTCCCCCAAACGGACAGTCGAATTCCCCAGAATGTTGACGAAATCTATCATGTTTTTCTTCCAGCCTGGTCTCCGCCTGCAGTTCACTCACATTTGGCCCTAATCAAAACGGAACAAAAACAAATGAGTCACAGATCTGGTTAACATGGTTGTTGCTGTCGCTGTTGCCGTTCATGTTCATGTTGATGCCACATATTCATGGTCAAAATTTCCATGCCCAATGAACGGAAGAAGGGGCATTCGTTGTTGTTTGCGATTACACTTTCGGTTAGTGTGGCTGGAGACTGAGACTGAGTCAAGCCCGTTAGCCCAGTTCCTTATGTGCAATATTCCCCGTCGATTCCAATGAAAAGAAACTCTTTAAATGAGTCAGTCCTCCAGTCCGCAGTGTTATCGCAAAAGAAAGACAGATGATGATGATGTTCATGATGGACAGACAGAAGCAACACCATAATGATGATGATGATGATGATGATAATGTTCCCCGCACAGAAGTCATTGACTTCATAAGGCCTCCCTCTGCCGCATGTTTACACGCCAAATTATTACAGATGAACAAAAAAACGAAGCTAAAGCTCTGGATCCAACTCCGGACTCCACGACGGAGTTGAAGTTAAAATCTTGGGCAGGTTCAACGACCGTTTTTGTAACACGAACGAAACGAAAGAATGGTTTGGGGCTTGGAGCAGAGAGAACCTTCTTTTAGCTGCTTTCAGTGTTGCTGTTGCTGCGGCAGCTACTGCTGCTGCTGTTGTTGTTGCTGTTGCGAATAAGAACGCGAATATCAGGCAAAACAAAGCGAGCGACGATGGCCAACAACTTTCACCAATTTGTTTTGCTTTCGCAGTTCTGGAGACGACGACTTCGACGACGACATGACGCTGACAGCAAACGAAAGACTTCGACGACAAACAATTGACAGACTTGGCCCAAAGGCAATGAGCCAACGCGTCTTCCACTCCCACTCCCCATACCAATCCCAACCTGTATTTAAGGCAGAACTCTCTGCAGAGTTCTATATATATTATACATAGATTTATTTATAATGTATGTATTCTGTCTTTTTTTCTAATATTATTTCGAATTTTGCTTTAATAACTTTCCCATTAAAAGCTAATAAAGGCGCAGGCCACTTCCGGCCAGAGCGGGGTTCTGGCTTCATTTGATTAGCAGACAAATAGAACGTCACGTTCTGGTCAAGACCCCTTCTCGGCATAGAAACCCCCCTTCCACCCGTTCCCTTTCTCTCTTTGGTTTTCCCGCCCCCCCCACATGCATGTACACAAATATTCATGCCCCCCTTTGCTAATCAAATGCCTCGTTCAATGTTCTGGAAGAGTCTCCTCGTCGTCGTCGTCGTTTCTGTATTCTCCTCTTCTCTCGCTTCGTCTTCGTCTTGGCTCATGCGTAGCGGTTAGCTTACGGTACTTTTCGTTTTCATTGCACGTCAGCAGCAGCGGCAGAAGCAGCAGCAGAGAGCAGCCGAAGCCGCAGCAGCAGCAGAGCTGAGAATGTTTAGCCTAGATTCGAGCGCAGGTTCGTTGAACTGAACGACGGCTTCGGCTCCGACTTGGACTTCGTGCGCGCCTTCGTTTGTCTTCAGTGCCTGCCTATTCTTCCACCACTCATTCCAATGCTGCTGTTCTCTGTCTCTTCTGCTGCTGCTGCTGCTGCCACTGCTGCTGCCTGGTTCTTCTCGCAAGTTCGTTGCCTAAGTCTTTTCTTTCTGGGTTTATTTTTTTTGGGCGTGCAATCAAAAGCCCGCCACTGGATTAATCATATTAAATGAGCTTTGATTATACAAAATTACAAATACCACAATGTTAATCTAATTTTCATGGGAATATAAGAATTAATTCAAGAAACAAATTCAAATAAAAGTTGCAGCAGAGGCTTAGCAAATTAGAAGGAATATAAACAGAACAAATAGCTTGAGGAGTCCCAAACAGAAAACAAATTCACCAAAAATAAATGTATTTATCAATAATACATAAAAAATCATTCAGAATCTAGAACACAAAAACCAAACTTATATGAAGAACAATTCCCAACTGAATATTGTTACAAAATGTAAGAAAATAATTCCTTTCGTTGCAAGTATTAGAAATGCAGTAGCAAAAGTCATCAGAGAAGAGAAAGAGTTCTGCAAAAAAAAAGTAGAAGAAGAAAAGGCAGTAGAAGAGGCAAAAAAAGTTGTAGCAGTCGGGGCACAAATGCAGTTGCAGTCGAAGAGTAGGAGGGAGGGTAAGAGACACCAGAAACGGCAGCAGCAGCTGAAGTCGAGGCTGAGGCAGAGCCAGAAGCAGTTAAAGCCAATGACCGCAAGTAACTTACATTTGAAAAATGTGTGCAAAAAGCACAGCGAAAGGAGACTTGCATACATATGCACACACCAAGAGAGAGAGAGAGAGAGAGAGAGAAAGAGCTAGAGAGAAAGACAAGACAGCGAAAGAGAAAGAAAGAATGAGAGGGAGAAAGAGCGGTGCAGTTGCAGCAGAATATAACAGTACTCGGCGGTAGCTTCGCGATTCTTTTGCTGTCCAAAGATGCCAACCGGTCCCCCCAAAGAAGCATTTTCCAAGAAAACTATCGAGGGAAAGGCGCAAAAAACACACACAAAAAAAAAAACACCAGAAAAAGAGTTTTTCCAGAGCCAAAGTTCTTTGGCTTTTGGAAAACATTCACCTCCCCATCTTGACGGAGGTTATTTCAGAAATGCAATTATGAAATACATTCCATTTAATTGGCTATTTATGAGACGAAAGACGTTGTTTCTGACTTACCCGTCGTTCACATCTGATGGCCCATCGAGTGAATGTGGGAGGGAATAAAAGAACGTACGCGAACGGCCACCAAACGGTCCTATTGCGGTCTGTTTGGGTTTGGGTCATTCTGGTCAAGTCTTGTCAACTGCAAAAAAAAGAGAGGTGAACGAGTATAAGAGGCGTGGAGAATGTGTGTGGTAGCGAAAGGAATTAGAATGGAAAGAACAATACCGAGAATGGTTAGAAAATGTATTGGGTGCTCAGACGAAGGATCTGGGAAGGGGTTTTAATTTCCATGACAGCAAGAAGCATTTCCTTAAAGATATTTAATCGAAAAAGTACAATTTTGAATAATTTTGGGATCTTTTACTAGCTATGGGATTGGCTGTTTTCAGGCATAGTTTTATTTTTTTTTTAATCCCAAAATGGAAAATATATTCTACAAAGAAAACGATTTCAGGTAAATAAAATAATATCCAGCTATCTTTAACCAACGCTTAATAAAATAAAATTAATAAAATATTTGCAGTTTGCAACTTTAGCTGCAAAATGTAACCAAAGAAAAATACACTTTGTACCTCAATACTCCACGAATCACTAAATTCCTTCAGCCTACATTCCAAACGTCTGGCAAAGTACTCCCAGATTTAGTTATGTTATCTTTCAGCATCCCAACCCACATATCATGCTATCTATCCCGCAATCTCCCATCTTCATCGCCGCTGGATAACCTTCCAGCCACCGCAATTGATGTCAAAAATGCATTTTGTTAACCACAAAAAAAACGTACAAAAATTGCAACTAATTGAAAATTGCCAGCCAAGAAGTATCTTTCTTGGCCATAATCATACTCAATGGAAAATGCAGCTGGGAACGCTTCCCAAACAACAGCAGAAAGCAACAAAGAATAAGAGTTCTAACCACAAAAGAAATGGCAGCAGCAACAGCAGAAGCGGCGGAGTGGCAGCAGCAAAAAAATGTTGCACAAAAAAGAATTCCCAGTGACCTAATTTTTGTACTTGGATGCAGTTTTTTGCTGTTGTTGTTTGTGGCAATTGTTGTTGCTGTTAGCGTTAGATTCCCATTGTTGCTGTTGTTGTTGGTGCTGCTGCGGTTCTCTGTCCCGGAAGTTCTTTGCCTCATGCACCCGATAGATCGAGGAACTTGCAGCTTGCAAATAACTGAAATTATGCCTCAGCCTTCTACTTCTTCTTCTGGCACTTCTCTGCCTCTGTCGCCCCTGCCCACTCTTTCACTAGTTTTTCCATCTTCCACATTCAAATTATAGAGTAGAGCCTTAGCGATTGGATCGATTCTTTTTTGGTGGGGTATTGGATTACTCTGAATTTTCATAGAACGTTTTGGCCATGGGCGATTTTGGGCTTTGGAAAACTTTGTGTCGAGTTTCCCGTTGAGACGAATTTCCTTTGCCCCAGAGCCAAATACGGAAAATTGCACTGTTTTACTCTATCTCTTTTTCCCTTTTCTAGATTCCCTCTATTGCCGGAACACTCACTCCCTTTGAGACCCGCGTTCTCTCGACGTGTCTCTCTCTCTCTCTCCGTCATTGTGTCGTTCTCTTCTGTCAATTGTTGGACACTTTGTATGCTGTAACAGGAGCGTAATAAACACTCGCCTAACGGTGCTTGTCTCTATTCTCTGTAGATAAATTTTTTTGCAACCAGAGAGTGTGCGCAGCAGCGGGAAATGCAGCAGCAAAAAAAACAACGAGCACAGGCCAGAACGAATGACTGGAAAAGCCAGAGAACTGTTTGCTGTTCGCTCCGCTAAGTGAAATGCTGCACTGAAGTGCATTATAACCGTACATTTGCTCACTCACACACACAATTACACACACACAGATATAGAGATGCATGTACTAGTTGCAGAGCTATGCAATTTTCCACTTTTTGCTTTTAACGTGGCTTGAATACGGATTCTGCTGCCTTGAGAAGAGGCCAAGCGAAGCTCAGATTTTACTTGGCTTGTGGGGCAGTTCTTTTTTTGGGTAACTTTTAATACTCGCATAGATAAAAGTTAATATTTGAGAGGAATTATACCAATAAATATAAGCAAGAATTCTTATTTAAATAGAGCAAATACGGAGCAGCAATCACAGATTTTAGAAGTAGGAATCCAAGATCTTTGAACTCAATGGTAAATAAAATGATTTTCTAACTAAGATAAACTACTTATTTTTTTGAAGAAGAATATGCCCATAAAGAACACAGCTACCGAGAAATAAATAAGAATAAATCCTTACATTTCAAAACTAATATTTTCAGCAAATATTCTTCCTCAAATATAATTCCTCACAAATATTTCAACAAATCTAGCAGCAATTTTTGTTTGCGTGGCTCTCTTGGCTAGAATTTTGCCATAAAGTTTAGCGAATTTGATTTTGGACTGCAGGAGAAAGCAGTTTTTTTTCGCTTCTTTCTTTTCTAGTTGCAACTGCAACTGCCACACCAATACCAAGACCGAGGACCAAGAGACCAAGAGACCGGAGAGTGCGCTGCGCATGCGCAACTCTGTTAGAATGCAATTTTCTGTTTCGCTTCTCTTTCTCTATGTGCCTGTCTGTCTGTTTGTGTGTGTATCTATGTTTGAACTTTGAAAAGTGGGTGAATGTACAGTAATGTTTGCTGCATGCTCAAATGCAATGCTGCAAGCCACAACAGCAACAACAAAACGTGGCAAATTCGTGACGTTCTGTCAGGGCCAAAATGGGCAAAAAGAAAATCCAAAGGGAGACCCAGGCCACCAAGGGGATATGATTTAGGGTTCTAGCTGATGGCATTTCTCGTACCCAATAAGGTAATTGCATTTTTTTTACTGTTTGTACAAGTAAATCAATAAAATTCGTGAATTATTGTAATTGAAGGAATACCGACAAATATCATTGGGACATTTGAATGTCTCATATCTTTAGCTGAAGAATAGCGAGTTAATGGGAGTATTATGACGCCTTCAAAATGTAGTTAAAACACATTTAAGCTACTAAACATTCTTAATTGAGGTTCAAAGGAAACTTGCTTCCTGGGATTATTAAAAAATAGATAAAGAATATTCAGGGTTAGGTGCTTGAGTATAAAAGAGCAGGGAATAAACTATGAAAATGTATTACTTAGCCGGTAAGCAAATTTTCTTGTCCAATTCAATGTATGTAAAATATGTTATTAATCAATTTGTTTTAGTTTCTGGGAGGTTTGTTGACGCTGACCTACTTGACGATTTAAAACAAAATGCAGAAAATAAATTGAATTAAAGCTATAAGTAAATACAATACAGGTAACAAATTGTAAGCCAACTTTGGGTTAGCTTGTATATTGTATAAATAAAATAATAATAAAAAAGCTACCTTATTTACAAGTACAATTTATGTTTTTCTTGCATGTATTTTAGGCTTTATATATTTTATATAATATTTCCGTAGCCCCATTTTATAGGTAGTTGCCTTTTGACTCTGTTGTTGCAGTGTTGCTACTGCTGTTATTGCCGTGCGTTCCATCTGTTGTTGAAGGCCACGGTAATCTTGAACTGTTTTATAAATTGGCACACTTATGCAAAGTCAACGACTCGTTGCCGCCGCCGCTTGCTTTCCTCTCTCTCTCTCCCTCTCTCTATCTGTCTCCGTCTCTGTTTGCGGCTTGGTGTTTCCCCTCCATCCACATCACAGCACGAAGTGGCAGAAAAACAGTTAACTGACTTCGTCGCTCGTGGAGCTTCGTGTGATAGCCGAAAGCCCAGCTCAAGCAAGCTCTCTCCGTCTGTGTGTCTGTCGGTCTGGTGTGTCTGTGTGTGTGGAGTTGCATAACTTTCATGCCATCGCGCAGCCAGCATGAACGAAGCGCCACAAAAGTTCATTCGCCTCGTGCACTCCATTCCATTTGGTCTTCCTCCACCAATCCTCCTCCTCTTTGGACTCCGCCACCACCTCTTTCCTCTCTCCACTTCTCGCTCTCTCCCAACTGTCTGGCTCTGGCTCTCCTTCTCTTGGTTGTTTTTTTTTGTATTCTTTTGCAGTCTTTCAGTTTGCTTTTCTCTTTTTACAGAGCTGTGGGGCTTTCGTTTGCGTTAGGAAAAAAGTTTTCTCTGTGTGTTTCTTGTTGTCTTGTCTCTTGAAAAAGGAATGTTAGTGACGTTTTTGGGTGAATGTGGTTTTTGGGTAGAAAGAGCAAGACAGAGAGAAAGAGCGGCAGTGAAAGAGGAACTTCGATGGAGAGGCTGAGAGATGTCGCCGTCGTCGTCGTCATCGTCGATCTGTGTGCAGCATTGTTAAAGGTCAGTTCTCTTACCTAACTTTGATTGCATTTCTGTCTTCCTAACTCCCCTCTCTTGTTTTTTTGTTGGTTTTCGTGTGGAATTTGTGTTTGATGTGCGTCAATAGGCTTTTTGTTTTTTGGGCAAACAGTTAAAAGGGTTTGTTCAGTGAAAATAAATAGTTAACCAAGGTAATAATATGCAAAAGGTGCTAAAGGTACACGGAAATTCTCAAGTGGCCATTAGAAGGTTGTAAGGAAATGTTCAGCAAACAGAAGAATATCAGGTAGTATAAGGAAATAAACAGAATTAGCCTTGGAATCATCAAATTTCGTAACTATTCTATATATTTCCTGTACCAAATCAATTAAAATGAATCTAAAAGGTTTTAACAACTATTGCAACAAACTAGCCAACAATTATTCATAATTAACCTCAATTTTCAATGCAAACGCAAACCTTAACCCTCAGCCTGCCAGCAGCAGCAGCAGTGGTGGTGCAATCACGCCCTCCAAATGGGTTAAAACAATTAAAATGGATTACCAAACAAAAGGCGTTCAACTCCATGGAGAGTCTGGGGAAATATAATTCTAATATGAGCCAGTATGTGTTCATTATACTTACAATTTACAATTTTTGTTTGAAGTCAACAGACAAAATAGTTCTCTCTACACAGCACCCGCACTCCGCACCCGCACCCCTTTTCCAACACAAATTAAAATGCACGCGAGAGCGATGCACACGAACAACTACAATGATGATGGCAAAAAGCTTTCAAAATTGCCTAGAACAAAACCGAAACGATAAAAACTGCATGCGAGAAGCCCACACAGAAAAAAGCAACAAAGGCAGCAAACAGCAAATGCAAATTGTGACGCCCCACACACATGGGCTACGATAGAGAGACAGAGAGGGAGAGAGACAGCCCCCCATGATGGCCGCGACATTCAACTTGAACTTTTTGCGCACTCGCATGCGCTCGCTCTCTCACACAAAGCACTCAACACACAGCAGAGCGGGAGTGCATAGAAAATAATCAAGATCAAGTTTCTTCCGGCATTTTGCACAACAACAAAAACTAGAGCTTTGGCCAAACAGCACAGAGAGAGAGAGAGAGAGAGAGAAAGAAAGAGAGTAGGAGAACGCATAACTGCGCTCGATTCAGAGTGCAAGAGAAAAAGAGTATCGCGTAAAAGAGAACACACTTATTTAAGAGAGCTTTGCCTAAGCTTGTGTGCGAGTGGGTGAATGCTTTACGGCAAGTGCATTTTCTGTTGCTATCTCTTACTACGTGTATGATGTCACTGTTGGTGCTTCCGACGCCGACGCTGCCGCTTCCTCTGCCCTTGCCCAAAAAATGGTTGAAGCTTTGATTTCCTGCTCATACCATTATTGAGCTTAGATTTAATTTAATAATTAATTATGTTCATCTTTCTTTTTGATATTTTTCAAATTCTTTATTTTCCTTTTCTTGCTTTGTCTTCCTACTCGTTGTTTAATTATTGCATTTTCTTATTGCTTTTATTTAAGTCAATCATTTTGCTTTACATTTTTAAGCAGTTTTCCATTTCTGTCCAAAATCTGACAGACTCATTTTCACTCGGGAAAGCGCTGCTATATGTGAAATTCTTGGAAAAGTCGAAAACACACTTGCAACTGCAGCAACAGCAGCAACTGCAGCAACAACAGCGTCATCGAGGCAAGCATTGAACTCGATTTTGTTTTCATTGCCGCCTGAATTTCTAAAACGCAGCTAATTAGTCGAGAGTGTTGCCTCTGCCTCAACCACTGCAGTTTCTGTTGCTGCTGTTGCTGCTACTGCCGTTGCACTTGCAGAGTTGTGGCTGCTTCTTTAGCTGTGTTCCACTTTTCTGGCAGTTTTCCACTTTTCCCCCAGCCAGTGGTGCGACTGCTGCAGATTTCACACGCGGCCAAGCAATTCATCATAAAAATTATTGTAAACTGCAGTCGATTGGCAACAGCGGGGAGGGTGGGAGGTACTGGCAAGATGTTTGCTTAAAACCGAAATGAAAATAAGTTTTTCCAAGTCCAAGACCACGGCCCAGCCTGCGCCGCTCCTTGTGTGTGTTTGTTTAAATAAAATGAAAGTTTTTTTTTTTGCTTTTGGCGAACGCGCGCGCCAATGTTTGACACACATAGAAGGCGGCGGCAGTCTATCAGTTAGTCAGTCAGTCAGTCAGTCTATAAGTCGGTTAGTCCATCAGTTGGTTGATCGGTCTCTCAGTCTGTTAGTGGAACGTGGCAACAGACTTTGTTTTAGTCAAAGACTTGCAACGGTCGTTGCCGTTTCGCTTTTGCTGTCTTTCCAGTGGTTTTTCTTTTGCGTGGCATTATGATTTCATTTTCTAATCGAGTTCGTCTTCGGGTTGATATCGTTTTCCAAGCAGATTTCATTCCGCGTTGGTCAACAAAGAAAAGCGAGCGCGCGCGTGAGCGATGCGAAATAAAATCACGCATACGCCGCGTATGACGAAAGTGAAATAGGCAAGGCAAGGCGCGAGCCATAAAACCGAGGCGGGCGGCCCAAAACGAAGCCAAGTAAAATAGAAACAGGGAGCGACAAGAAGACAGAGAGCGAAAGGCCTACGCAGTGGGAAAGGTAAAGAAAAATGGAAAGAGAAAGAGAGGAAGAGGCAATCGGGAGAGAGCGAAGGCACAGCTAGAACGGTAGCGCTTCACTTTTTGTTTTTCGGCAGTTCAACAAACTTTTGGGCACCAAAAGAAGAAGGCAACTTGGGTCAATAAACTACAAAAGCCGCCACACCATGGAGATCGTTAGGCGATGATGATGATGGACGCTGAAGATGAGAGCCCGGTCTTTTGTTTTGGGGGGAATGCGCACATAAAGAAATGCCATTCAGTGGGGTCAATGGCAGACATGCGCCGGCAGAAGAAACTGTAGTATGTAAAGTGCAGGCGGTGGAACATTGTAGAGAAATATACGAAAACTGCTGGAAAGTCAGAACAAAAGAAAAACTAAATCCCTTAGAATTGATAGCTAAGACAATTAAATACCTTTATTTAAGCTAACGCATAATTCCTTTTATTATTTCCAAATTCAAATTATAACCGCTCTTTTGAGTTCGCACTCCAACTCCAGCAGATGGTGCTCGTGAGCATAAACACCATCGCCCTCTATGGCCAAAACGTATGTAGCTCTTCAAATCGACATAACGCCTATCGATAATTCCGTAGCAAAATAACCATCGATACCATGGAGTGATAGAATCGGAAAAGTCGAAAAATTAATTGATAAATCGGATAAAATTATAATTTTAGCGCTGAAAGTCCTAAGTAGCTGGTAATTGAATATTGAATTAAATAGCAAAAACGAGGAAAATTTTAAGGTATATTTTTTTAATTTCGGTATATTTTTGACAGTAGTGCGGTATATTTGATCAATAAATCCGCGGTCACACTGATGTGAACATATTTACCAAATTTCAGGAAAAGAAAAACAAACAAAATTAATAATTAGGCACAAAATGAGTTCACCGACAAGTAAAAATGCCAGCGAAACAAACGGGAACAAGCCGAAGAAGTCGGGCAAAACGAATTCGAACGCAAAAGGCGGCACACTGGACTCGCGCGGGGAATTGGCGGACCTGATAAAAAAGAAGGCAGAAACTTCGGTAAGACACACACACACACACAAACACGAGGTAAAACAAACAATTATAGCAATCTTGTGACCACACAGGAGCAACTGGCTAACCTCGAGCGACAGATATATGCCTTTGAGGGCTCCTATCTGGAGGATACGCAGCTGTGCGGCAACATAATACGCGGCTGGGAACGCTACCTCACCTCGAACAAAGCCACCAACTCAAAGGCCGACAAGCGCAATCGAAAATTCAAGGAAGCAGAGCGTTTGTTCTCCAAATCCAGCATTACCTCAATGGCTATATGTAATCGTAAGTGGCGCACGCCTCTAGGAAATTCTATTCTATGCGTCCCTTTTTCGTCTGCCAGCGGAGCGTGCCAGCGAATCGGACTCCATAACGAATGAGGACTCCAGCGACAATCAGATCTCAATGAACCAACATACCACCACTGCCCATGATGGGGCAACGACAATCAAGAGCACACCAAAAGATGAAAAGGGTAAGGTGGAGATGCCGTTAGATCCAGATGAATTGGATGTGGTGACTCCTTTAAAAATAAGATTTTACTAAGAAAGTGTTTAACACAAAATTAGTTTATAATTAATACCCAAAAAAAAAATGAATGTATGTATCCCTAGGACATCTAGAGAAGTGCGTCCATTAACGTTTTCCATTTTTTCGATACAGATTCGCCCTCGCATCGCAACGAGGGAACGAGCCTGTCTGCCAGCGGAGGAGGAGGAGCCGGTACGGGTAGCAGCGGTTCGGGAGGAACCAACAAAGATATATTGGGTACACCCACGTCCACGACAAAAAGCAAACTCACATCCAGCTCGAGTGCCACGGCGAAGAAGAGCGGACACATAAACAAGAAAATACGCCATCGATGATAGGGGATCGGGTTCACACTACACAGGACAGTTAACAACAAATCACTCAATGAGTTCAAACAATTTGAAATTAATTTTTAATTACAATAAACGAAATGTAGAATTAAATGAGTTTCGTTTTCGTAATTTTCAATTCCTTTGCTGCCCTATAAAAAATTGTTTTTGAGCCGATTTAACAAGAACTCCATACAGAAGAACAATACTCCAATATCGTGCGGAAAAATCGGATTTTACCCATAATTATGTTGTAAAGATAGAAGAACTTTCCCGTTCCCTTTCCCCTTCAAAAAAATAATAGAATTTCCTGTCTTTAGTTGCGCGGGCAGTTTTTCAACCTTTTTTATGATATCAGTTAACATACATGTATGTGTCTCTACATGTTACATACACTGTAACACTGTAAATACCTTGCTTCCAGAAGGAGTGATTTGAATGTCTGAATTTGTAAAATATTAGGTCATAAGGTATACAAACCAAAAACAATTAGTATTTAAAATACGTCAAATTGATTCTTCAAACGGATTCAATTATTTTTTCAGTGTTAAAAGTCTTTGCAAGCTTGTAAAATCAAATAGAACATCAAAATCGAGGAATATAATTTGGGACTACGGTATATTTTTATAATGAGAAGGTATAATTTGATATACTTTATCGATAGTGCCGCAGGAAACTCGGGCTGGGAAAACATCGATAGTGGCCACCATCGATGGTGGAAATAGTGTAGGTATTCTAGATTACCCTAGAAACAATAGCCAAAGTTCAAATGAAATAGTTACTCATCCGTATTATAAACGCAGTATTGACGGCAGTTAAGATATCTAAAATAAAAAGATACAGCAAAACTGTAATTCTCTGCGATAGTCAAGGCGCCTTAAAGAAGGCTCTGAAGAGAAATTAATCAAATTCATGCTTAACAGACGAAATCCACCTCAACATGGACAATTCCTTTACGAGCAAATTTATTGTGCACTGGATACCCGGTCACAAGAATATTGTCATTAATGAAAAGACTGATATACTAGCCAAATCAGCCACTATTTAATTTACTCCTAACATTCGATGTAGTAATATGAAAAGTTAAAACAAAAGTTCAGACGGATTGGAACAATGAGTACAAGGAAATATCAAAAACCAACGACATGATATTATCAGGAAAAAATATAACATTTTGCATCGCTTTAAAGCCTCTTTTTTTAGAGAATTGGCCAAATTTATTGAGGCAAATTTGGAGTTGTGAATCGAAACACACTGGATTTTATTCAGGTCGGGTTAACTCGGTGCCAAAGGAAGTCACCTTGAGGAGCAACCTTCTGTTGTTCGTACTTGCTGAGGCAACCTTCTGTTGCAATACACCTACATATACACATCAATCCATTTCACTACTATATATTTTGTTAAACTCTTACACACGACCACACTTTAAACTAAGCATCATATTGTTTAAATTATAAGAATATACCAATGCAACACAATGCATGGTCTCATTAACAACCATCGATAGTCAAGAAAATATCGACAGCCCGATCATCGAACTGAAGTACCTGGTCAATGCGGACTCATCGTCGTGCGACTATCAAATTTCGCGGCAGCGATTAAATACCAAAAAAAAAAAAATATAATAATATTTTTCTGTCGGAAAAATTATTGTTTAAAAAAACATATTCGACATCATATCCTGTTGGGGGAACTCAACGACATCTGACACAGGTACAGCTCCTGCTGAACAAACGCTTAAACGTCGACAAACACACGAAAGCAGTAATCGCCAGCATGGGAACGGTGGCAGAACAGCAGCAGCAGCTACGGTTCCGTGCAATTTGTTTATGTCTGCTTGTCGTCGGCAGCTGCTACGTGTCGCAGTCACAAGCGGACGAGCACAATCACAAGGTGAGTTTGCGTGCACCTGAGCGAGCGCTTAACAAAATGCATTCTGCATTCTACAATCCGATTCCCCTTCCAGTACAATGACAGAGAGGAGGTGGTCCTGTGGATGAACACAGTGGGGCCGTACCACAATCGACAGGAGACATATGCCTACTTTTCGCTGCCCTTCTGCAGCGGTGGCAAGTCGTCCATCTCGCACTACCACGAAACGCTAAGTGAGGCGCTGCAGGGCGTGGAGCTGGAGTTCAGTGGCTACGAGATGGACTTCAAGACGGACGTGCAGCGATCGACCATTTGCATGGTGACGCTGGCAGACGAGAGCGTCAAGGCCTTCACCTATGCGGTGATGAATGAGTACTGGTACCAGATGTATATCGATGGCCTGCCCATTTGGGGCAAGGTGGGCGAGCGTGACGAGCGCGATGGCAAGTACTACATCTTCACGCACAAACGCTTCGACATTGGCTACAATGGCCAGCAGATTGTGGACATAACACTGACCACAGACGGTCGAGAGGAACTGAAACCAGGGTCACAGATCAATTTCTCGTACGAGGTCAACTGGAAGCCTACCAAGGTGGAATTCAAGAATCGCTTCGACAAGTATCTCGATCCAAACTTCTTCCAGCACAGAGTGAGCTTTAACATGACATCATCCATGCCGCTGCTCAGTGTTTTATGCTTTCTTTTCTTGCAGATCCATTGGTTTAGCATTTTCAACAGCTTCATGATGGTCATCTTCCTGGTGGGCCTCGTGTCCATGATTCTGATGCGCACTCTGCGCAAGGATTATGCCCGCTACAGCAAGGATGAGGAGGTGGACGATATGGAGCGCGATCTGGGCGATGAGTATGGCTGGAAGCAGGTCCATGGCGATGTCTTCCGCTCCCCACCCCACACTCTGCTCTTCTCCGCCTTGGTCGGAGCTGGCTATCAGCTCATTTCTGTTGTATTTTGCGTCATTATGTTTGCCATTGTCGGCGAACTCTACACGGAACGCGGCTCCATGCTGTCCACCGCCATATTTGTGTATGCCGCCACCTCACCCATCAATGGTTACTTTGGTGGTTCACTGTATGCCCGCCTGGGCGGACGCCTTTGGATCAGGCAGATGCTGGTCTCTGCCTTTACAGTGCCTGTGGCTGTTTGCGGCACGGCCTTCCTCATCAATTTCATTGCCATTGGCTATCACGCCTCGCGTGCCATACCCTTTGGCACCATGGTGGCTGTCACGTGCATTTGCCTGTTTGTTATTCTGCCCCTGACCCTGGTGGGCACTGTGGTGGGTCGCAATTTGGATGGTCAGCCGGATTTCCCCTGCCGCGTGAATGCTGTGCCGCGACCCATACCCGAGAAGAAGTGGTATATGGAGCCGCTGATTATTGTGCTGCTCGGTGGAGTGCTGCCCTTTGGCTCCATATTTATTGAGATGTAAGCGGAAAACCTTTAGAATATTGCAGGGAGATCCTCTAATCTTTTATATTTGTTTCCCCTTTGCAGGTACTTCATCTTCACCTCGTTTTGGGCATACAAAATCTACTATGTCTATGGGTTTATGTTGCTGGTCTTCACCATCCTGACAATTGTTACTGTCTGTGTGACAATTGTGTGCACATACTTTCTGCTCAATGCGGAGGACTACCGATGGCAGTGGACGAGTTTCATGGCAGCGGGTTCCACTTCCATTTATGTTTATGCCTACTCCTTTTACTATTTCTTCTTTAAAACCAAGTGAGTCTAAACTTTGCCTACATTATTCATGGGAAATACTAACTAAATCTTTTTTGCCTTTTTGCAGAATGTTTGGCCTGTTCCAAACGGCCTTTTACTTTGGCTACATGGCGCTGTTTAGTGGCGCTTTGGGCATCATTTGTGGCACCGTCGGCTATGTGGGCACAAATCTGTTTGTGCGCAAAATTTATTCCAATGTGAAAATAGACTAGAAGGAAGATCAGTTGAAGAACACCGCCCCCCACACTGATCGGAAACACGTCGTCTACTATTGTATTTATTTAGTAGAGATTTAGTTAACAATATTCTTTGTGTGTTTTCTTTTGCGTGGTCTCTCCCTTCCCTGTTTATTACTGTTTCGTTTCTCAGAGATAACTTCTCATGTTGGTGTGAAAATGAATGCCAGTCCCATGTATTCGCACCAAAGATTAAATATTCAATTTATCTATGCATAGGCATGGCACAGAGTATGAGGACAGAGTTAAATAATTATAGAAAAAGGAACAACTTGTGGTTCTAAACTGAGCGTTTAGTTAGTTGCATTTAATAATTATTCTATAAAAAAGGGAAGCAATTTTGTCTTGTTTATTTTTGATATTTTAATTGCGAGCAATTAATCAATTCATAAATGGGTAAAGTTCTTTTATTGATCAACCAATTTATTATGCAAAAATGCTGTCAAAATCTTCTTAAATTCTTTTGCAATTCAAAGCATTTGTTCTACGAATTGTTGTAGTACTTCAAGTCTTTTCTTCATTAACTAATTTGTTCTCAAAAATACTTTAAAAGGCTTTTTAGACACGAAAACCCTCCAACTTAATGTCTTACGATTCCAAAACCCTTACGCTCTTTGCCTACGTACAATGGCCCCATGTCTATGCCATGGATATACCCAAGCAATAGGTATATGTTATTATTTGTAAACTCTATGCCTAGAAAACTTATCAAATCTATGCAATTGCAAACAAAAAGTGTGTGTGACTCGAACTTTGTTGGCGCCAATTAAGTTTATGTACGATGCAGAAGAAAAAATGTGCTGATTAGCGTTAGTCGATAATCTAATAATAATAAAATAAAATTCAATATGAAAGAAAAGGCAAAACACAAAGCCGGCCGCTGCATTCTTCAACAAGATCGTTTTCTAATCATTGACCCTCAAATGGTTGCCAATTCTTTTGCCATTAGCCATTAAGCTTATCTGTCAATTTATTAGAGGACTCCAAGTGCTAATTTCTTCTTATTTTTGTTGAATATTTTTTGTCTTTTTGTGAAATTTGCGGGGAGGCAACAATAGCGGTTCAAGTTCGAGTACTTTTGGGATTATTCCATGACAGCGTAGAGTTGATAAAGGTTTTGGGTTTGCATTTTTGTTTTGTTAATTATTGATAGTGTTGGGCATAGCTTTTAAGTTTAGTTCTTAGTCTGTGGTTTAATCTCTTCAGAGTGGGTTATACATACTTTAGCAATGATTGGATTGGACCGATGCTTTGTCTGTGCTACAGCTTAGCTGATCGTTTCTAGGGCCCAAATGCCCAATGTCTTTAGCTATGCCCCAACGGCTCTTATCAAAGCGCTCTCAAGGGGCCGGGCTGGCCGTCGCATGGCGCTCCCTGGAAGTCAACACTCATGTGTGGAGTGCCACTAATGACGCTTGTATTCTGAGGGGCCTTTGTCTAGTCCGATATGTCGGAACTGTAACAGACGGCGAGGAGAACCACGAGCCAGAATGAAAATTTGTTATTTGTTTGGATGACTTATGCTAATTTCTGTTTAAAACTATAACGGCGCTTGTTGGAATGTTGGAGGCGAAAAAAGAAAATCCCATTGACTGAAGAGTTTTAATGTGACACCCAAGCCCCCAGCCCACATAAATGATTTTGATTTAAACAAATTCTACGAGCAGATTGACATTTGATGCACCTCTAGATGGTTGTATCTGAGAACTGGAACCCCGCTGACCCAGTTTGTGTGTCCAAAATGTGGTTTGGTCTGCCAGCTAATGATGCTCCATGCTTATCTTGTTGCATAAATGATCATAAATGTCAGAACCGACGAATGTTGATAGCATTTTCGATACGAGAACAGTTATGGGCCCAAAGAAGGTGATGCGGGAAATTGTATTTCCCTATTTTATTTACATATTTAAATGATTAAGTCCAACTCAAGAGGCTAGAGGCGTTCTTCAGGGTATAAAAGATCGGTTCCAGTTGCATTTTCGGCTCAGTCTCTAACGCAACGACAGCATGACATTTTCTGGCCTCTTGGCTGTCCTTCTTTTGGGTGAGTTTTACGGACAGAATCCTGATTTTATTTTACTGCGAATTTTCTATAATTTTCAGGCATTTGCTCGAGAGTTCAAGCTTCGCTGGTGAAGTGCTCCTGTGATCCTGGACCAGCTGGTGCGCGTGGACCCCCAGGACCTCCTGGACCGCCTGGACCAGGTTATGGTGGCGGACATGGTGGCGGTTATTGGCCCTATCCACCAACGCCTCCATTCACTCCAAATCTGCCAATCATACCTGGACCAAGAGGTCTGCCCGGACCGCCAGGCCCACCAGGATACTGCTTCCCATGTCCGGCTCTGCCGCCCAGAGGATTCCCGCCACAACTGGGTGTGCCCGTGCCACCATTCCTGTCCACTCAGGTGGGCGGTGGAGGTGGAAATGCCGCCTCTGCTTTGACCTCTGCAGTGGGCAACATCATAGTGATTCCCTCGGGTGCGACAACAGGCTTGAAGGGCCGTGCACAGTTCTACCACATCTCGCCCGATGGCCAGGTGCTGCGTATCGAACCACCCAAGGATATTCCCCATGAAATCTTCGACTCTCTGGGCCAGCCGCCACAGCCACAGCCGCCACAGCCCACGTCGGGCTCCTCCTTGTCGGGCATAACGCCACCACCCACACAGCAGACACCCGGAGAGCAGCAGCTGCAGACCACCGTAACACCCGAGACCCTGGACGAAACAATGTTTGCGGTGACAGGCAATCGCGGCAAGGACTTCCTGCGCGGCGGCAACTCCGAGGCCAGCGACTGGCGAAGGATTCTGCTTCTGGGCGAGCGACCCACAGAGGCGCCTCAACAGCAGCAACATCCCAACCAGCTGGGCAGCAGCATGGAGAGTTTCCAGCGAGCACTGGTGGAGCTGAAGGAGAAATATGCGACGCTCATACAGCCAAGGAGCGACAATCGATACGCGGTTATTCTCTGATACAAAATGAAGTCCCTGCCCTCTTCAAATAGGTTAAATAAATAATAAAAACAGTACTGATAATATCTAAACAAGAAGCTGGAAGAATTGGATTAATTTGGAACTCCATTTTTATAGCCTCACAACTGGACAGCAGATTTTGTCTTTTAACCAGGCATTAGATAGCATTCGCAAAAGAAAACAAAGTCACAAAGTGAATTTCCCAGAAGCGATTGGCATTCAAATATCTGCCAATTTAATCAGATGGCAGATAGTGAATACTTTTTTTGCACAACATACTCTTGTTACTTGTTTTTTTTTTGGTGGGGTATTTAGATGGCAATCGTCCAGCTAGACGGTCAGTTGACAGCAGACCTGCTGGACGTCACAGAACGCTTTTTGCTCTTTTTTTTCGTCACAGTTGCATTTCCCGGAAATTTCGAGTAACATTTCTTAGTAAAGATCAGACCATTTATTTTTGATAGGAAATTAGTAGGGGTAAAGCAGAGTTTTTGTACACGTAATCAACTGATCAATTAAGAGACAACTCCATTTACAGATCAGTTCAACTTTCTACAGATCTACAGATCTTTCTCCTACATAACTTCTATGACAATACACTTATTGAAGAGTTTCAGACAGAACTTGTGACGCATCGGACTTTAAAACGTGTCAATAGTAAAGAGATCTGCTGACAGACAACTCTGTGTGCAGATCAACAGGCTATTTTTTCTATCGAAGATATCAGGATCCCCTGCTATAGAACTCCTTGTTCAGATTATGCTCTTTCTGCTATTCCTCTTTCTGCTAGATAACTTCTAGATCTTGCCACTCCTGACAGATCCTGACAGACAACTCAACGCACAGGTCATACTCTTTCTTTTATGGCTTTATCAGCTTTTCCTCTTGCGACTCAAAAACAAGATCCCCTGACAGACAGCTCTACGCACTAATTATACTCTTTCCTTTTTATCAGCCTTCCTGGAAGGTCTCTTGCTTCTTTCCTTTTTCTGCCACTTCTTTGTTATATCAATGAATAGATCTTGCAACTGTTCGTTCTGTATTCTCTTTATTCAACTTTAGACGTCACATAAATGGATTGATTTCATCATAATATCAAAGATTACCAAAGCCACTTTGGTTGTCGTAAGTATATGCAATTCACTTAATCAACAGAACTTATGTGGATCGTCACACTTTAAATGTCAAACATCTTTAGATACACCCTGACGTAAAGTGTTTAGGTTGGGTATCCCAAACGTGAAGGTAAAACACAACCCTCAATGCGATTAAATTACTGCTTCAAAATTCTGTCAAAGTCATGTGACAACCATCAACAAAAAAAGAGCAGATAAGTATATCCGCTTAAATGGATTATACACGAGTAGTATGTTTATATATATATATATATTGAGGTATGCTATTTATTGATTGGAAATTACGCGTCTCATACAATGTACAAAATAATCCCCAATCGAATTTCGGTGCTTCGCGTCTCTCAATCTTTTGTTTGAGTATTCATTGATGTTGGATAATGCGGACGTGAGAATCGTCGAGTGGACGAAACTCTAATTAAAAGTCCTTCTGGCTGTCAATCAGTCGCTGGCATTCTGGCATGCGGTCAGGCCATCGCCCACACAGGCGGCAAAGGCCATCATGTGGGGAATGGTGTTCTGCTCGTACACTCCAGTGAAGAGGTGCGCCCACGGACCGGATGCAAACACACCCACATCCTCGCCACCGTGCGTCTCCGACTCGAGGGGCACCATGGCGGGGAAGAGCTGATCGAAATCCCCAGTGGCCAGGGCAACGGGATCCTCACGTTCATTCGTTAACGTGTTGTAGTACAGATCGAAGCTCTTGCCATTGGCATAGCTCAGGGGCAGATAGGGTTTCTTGTCCTGGCCCTTCGACTTGGCCGCTCCAAAGATGTCGCTGCCACGAGGCTGATAGCCGGCCACGCTGAACGCGTGCGAGTGATCCGAGGTGACCACAATCAGCGTGTCCTCGGGGTTGGTCAACTCACGGGCCCGCCTCACAGCCTTCGACAGTTCGGCGGTTTCGTCTAGGGCAATGCGTGCCATGGTATCGTGATGACTGATGTCGATCTTGCCGCCCTCGACAAACAGGAAGTAGCCCCGCTCCTCGGTGGACAGCACTTCGATGGCCTTCTCCGTCATCTCCTCGAGCGTGGGTTCGTTGTTCTCCGGATCGGCCAGCTGCTCCACATGATAGTGCATGTGGCCGCTGCTGAAGAGACCCAACAGGCGACCCGTCTCTGTGGCATTCACTTTCAGCAGCTTCTTCTGTGTCTTCACGAAGGTGTTGCCCTCCTGCAGCGCCTCGAATTCCTCCACCAAATTGCGTCCATCGGTGCGGCGACCCTTGTCATAGAACTCGGGATCGTAGAAGTTCCGCTTGCCGCCGCCGAGCATCACCTTGAGCTTGCTGCCCACCTCGCCATAGATCAGCTGCATGGCAATGTCCTGCAGTCCATCGGCCTGCTCGCCACAGCCCTCCTCCAGCAGCGCATTGTTCTCCCACTCACGATCCGCCGTGTGGGCATAAACGCCCGAGGGTGAGGCATGGGTCACGCGTGTGGTGGTCACCAGGCCGGCTGCCATGCCGCTATCCATTGCCCACTTGCCGAGGGAGAAGACATGATTGCTGGCATTGGCCATGGCCTGGCAATCGCCACGCAGCACATGGGCATTCACACCGATGGTGCCGTAGTTGGCCTTCACGCCGCACAGATAGGCGGTTGAGGTGCAGGCACTGTCCGGCGTTATCTTGTCCACGGAGTAGGTCTTCGAGAGGCCCGTGAAGGGGAACTCCTCGAACGAAAGTTTCTGCTCCTCGCCGCCAATGTAGCTGCGGGCAGCAGCCAACGTGGCCAGTCCCATGCCATCGCCCAGGAAGAGTATAATATTCTTGGCACGATTTGTGTTCCGCACTTGGCTGAGCTTCTCACGCAGCAGCTGCTTGCTGGCCTCGTGCCAGTAGGCCTGAGTCGCCTCACCACTGATCGTTCTGCCACGAGTGCCGCTACGTGGCAGATGTGGATGCATGGATTCCTCGTCATCCATGGGTGCCGCCATTTGTGGCACAGCTGCACTCAGCGCCAGGCAGACCAAGCCTAGGCCCACAAAGAACTTTAGTGTCAGAGTCGGAGCCATTTCGCGTTGCTTTCACCGCGTTAGCCAAGTGAATACTGTACTTTTTGAGCACATAACCGGCCGCTATATAGCCCCGATCCGGCTCATGTGCAGCTCGTGTGAGGTTGTCGATAGGGCAGTCGATTTATGGCCCCCTTCCTTTGGCCAGACCGTGATACTCACGTTTCCACTTGCCACTCGAGATAATCATTAATCGATGGCCACTCTAGATTCTACAAATCACAAAAACACAATCATATAACAAACAGCCGAACAGCCCAGGCCACAAGGAACAATGTGTGCAAAATCGGAGGCTATATAACCGATTCGTTTCGTCTAATTTCGACAGTCGAACGGCAACCGTCTGAAGATGCAGAAAACTTTTGTGCTCCACACTTTGTGCGCTCTGCTGGCCCTCGTGGCTTTGGTCTCTGCAGCGGCACAGCCCCCCAAAGTGCGCAAGGGCCTGACCGAGGAGCAGGAGATTGGTGGCGGTAAGTGAAACGATCGATCCCGTTCGGCTAACCGAAAGCCCCATTCGTCAAGACCCAACAAAACCTTATCTACAACCAATTGAAATACAATATTCCCCGCCCTACCTCCACGCGATTGTGTGTGGATCGCTGGGGGAAATCTTGTTCGTCCATTAAGTGCGGAATCTAATCGGGCAAAATCTATTTTCGAATAACTTTCAATCATAAATGATTTAGTAAGTTAATTAATAGATAATCGTAAGAAGCATCAAGTACTCTTTACAAAAGTAAAACGTAGCGTCGATGGTTATAAATAAGTAGAAAATGGGAAGATTAAATGTGTGTCAAGAAAAATAAGTGAAACTGTGTCTAAAGTGATTAGATATCAATGGAATCATTATTTATGGCAGGAGGAAAAGAAAGCGGTAGAGTTTGAGCAATAAATATAATTGAAGTGAATTCTGGCCACACAAGAAAAATTAAAGATTTCTGGGCAATAAATAGAATAGCTTCTGACTGTTGAGAGCTGCATGAAATGTTCAAAGAGAATCCAGGAGCAAAGGGTATTCAAAATAGCAAGAAAACGAGTGGCTGGATGAAGAGATATGTAGGTAAAGATTCTGGGGAATCATACTTCTCATACTAGCATAACTTCGAATTGATGAGAGTTTGAGAAAGTTCCAGAAGAATCATTTAGTAACAGGTATCAAAAATCATCAAAAAGTGGATGATTCTGGGGAATAAACTGCCAGAATGTTCCAAGATCATCCAGGAGTAAAAGGCCGTAAGAACGTAAAGTTGAAGAGTCTGGGGAACAAATAGAATAGCTTCATATTAATGGGGAAACTGCTAGAAGTTTCCAGGAGACTCCAGAAGTAAAGGGTATAAAAAGTAGTACAAAAAGAAGGAAAATAAAGTACAAATACTGGGGAATAACTACGGATTAATGGGAACAGCGAGAATGTTGAAGGAGAATCCGGGGAGTAAATGGTATAGACAAATAGTGAAAAGTATTGACAGGCAGAATGATGCTTCAAAATGTGTAACCTGCATCGACAATGGTCTCACAATTACCACAAATGGAGCCATAAACATTCGCCATCTTTGATTCCCCGGATTAGACCATTTATTGCAATTAATAATGAAATGAGCAAACGATTGAATATTTATGAGCCATAATTAATGCTGATGATTATCCAACGATTAGATTTTCCTTTTTCAAAGTTCAAACTTATTTTTGTGTGTGTTTTTTGTTGTTGATTATAAAAATAGTACAACATCCACGACTGCTGCCATCACGCGACTTTGTGGCACTTGAGGAGGAGCTGGAAACACGTTTCTGGCACGATAAGGCCCAGACAATATTGGCCGATAAGCTGGCCAGCCATAAAAAGCTAAACGAGAACCGTGCCAAGAATGTGATCATGTTCCTGGGTGACGGCATGTCGGTGCACACGATTGCGGCCACACGTGCCTTCCTCGGGGATAGCAACAAGCAGGTTTACTTTGAGAAGTTCCCCTACCTGGGACTCTCCAAGACTTATGCCGTGAACGAGCGCACCCCGGACTCGGCGAGCACGGCCACGGCCTACCTGTCGGGCGTCAAGGCCAACTACGGCACCATTGGCGTCAATGCCCAGGTGGAGCGTGCGGATTGTGTGCGTGGCGCTGATGCCAGCACCCACACCCAGAGCATTGCCCAGTGGGCGCAGGAGGCGGGCAAGTGGGCGGGTCTGGTGACCACAGCCCGCGTGACGCATGCCTCCCCAGCGGGCGTGTACGCTCACACCGCAGAGCGTAACTGGGAGCACGATGGTTTGATCACCGATTCGGGCTGCAGCTCGGAGCTGAACATGGACATTGCCCGCCAGCTGGTGGAGTGGAGCGTGGGCCGGGATCTGCGCGTGATCATGGGCGGTGGTCGTTCCTATTTCCGCGATCATACGATGCACGACGAGGAGGGCAACAAGGGACTGCGCAACGATGGACGCGATCTGATCAAGGACTGGCAGGAGGACAAGTCGAATCGTGGTGCCAAGGGGGAATATGTTTGGTCACTGAAGGGCCTCCGGGAAACGGATCTCAACAAGACCGACTACCTGCTGGGTCTCTTTGATGCCTCACATCTGCCCTACCACGGCGATCGGAAGCGCTCCCATTTGGAGTACGCCGAGCCCTCGCTCTCCGACATGACAGAGTCTGCGATCAAACTGTTGAGACGCAATGATGAGGGCTACTTTTTGTTCGTGGAGAGCGGCCGGATCGACATGGCGCATCATGCCACGCTGGCACACAAAGCGCTGGAGGATACGGAGCAGTTTGCTGCGGCTGTAAAGCTGGCCAGGGATCTAACCAACGAGGAGGATACACTGATTGTGGTCACATCGGATCACTCGCATACCATGTCCATCAATGGTTATCCTGTAAGTTGAGCCTGGCACTCAAATCTGGCACTCAAATATCTAACAAGTCTTTTGCTTTTCTCCTTTAGTACCGCCGCCAGAACATCTTCTCTTTGGCACCCAATCTAGCTGAGGATGAGCTGCCCTTTACCATTCTCTCGTATGCCAATGGCCCTGGCAGCACAGCAAACACCTACAGCGCCAGCACTGGCCGCGTGGATCTCTCCCATGTGGACACAACGTCAGCGGACTTCCGTTTCCAGGCCACCGTGCCATTGAGCAGCGAGACCCATGGCGCCGAGGATGTGGCCGTGTTTGCCTCGGGCCCCTACGAGCATTTGTTCACGGGCAACTACGAGCAGAGCAGCATTCCCGCGATGATGGCATTTGCCGCCAATATGGGTCCCTTTTCGAAGGATAAACTCAATGAGTGATTTTTAAATAAAAGAAAAGAGTCTGATATGCAAAGCAAAATAAAGTTGTAACTTAGTTTAAGGCACGTTCCACATAGGAGTAAGGAAAATGAATAAATAATGAGTGGAAAAGTAGCCAAAAATATTCATAATGTTCCACGTTAAATGTGGGCGTACTGTGTCTGCGTTTCAGAAGCTTCTTTAGCTAATTTGTGTCCCTTGTCTGCCACATGCAACAATTTTCCTACTGTTTTATCCCTCTCTTATCAGTCGCTCGTTCAAGATCATTCATGTTCTAATGACTTTCAAAAGGAAAAACAAGCAAAACCCTTACAGGTAGCAGGGTACAGGTATGCCAGGATTCTACCTGTTGTTTGGATTCGCCAAACCAACAGCAGTCGCTGTTTAAACCCCGAAGTGGCAGGACAAACACTCACGCGAAAAATGTTTATTCTCTACACCATTTTTGGCATTTTAGTGGCCATAATAATTACTTCTTACATACGAATTCTCTACAAATCGCTGAGACGCGTGCGTGTACCCATAAGTAGTGGAAAATCATCTGAGTTAAGTGTACAAATATTCAAACAAGCGCCCGGACCCAAACCCTGGCCCATCATTGGCAACCTCAATGTGCTGGATAAGTACAGGGACAATCCCTTTGCGGGTTTCACCGAGTTGGCCAAGATTTATGGCGATATTTACACGCTGACCTTCGGACACACACGCTGCCTGGTGGTCAACAATTTGGAACTCATTCGCGAGGTTTTAAATCAAAATGGAAAGGTTTGCAGTGGACGACCGGACTTTTTGCGCTATCACAAACTATTTGGAGGCGAGAGGAGCAACTCGTTGGCCCTGTGCGATTGGTCGCAGCTGCAGCAGAAGCGACGCAACATGGCCAGAAGGCACTGCTCGCCGCGGGAATCATCCTCCTTTTACATGCAAATGTCGCAGATTGGCTGCGAGGAAATGGAGCACTTTATCCGGGAAATAGACGCCAAGATGCTGCCCGGACAGCCTTTCGATGTGAAGACATTCCTGCTGCGTGCCTGTGCCAATATGTTCAGTCAGTACATGTGCTCCCAGCGTTTCGACTACGATGACGAAGAGTTCCACAAGATTGTGCTGCACTTTGATGAGATCTTCTGGGAGATCAATCAGGGACATCCGTTGGACTTTCTGCCCTGGCTGCGGCCCTTCTATCAGCGACACTTGAACAAGATTGTCAACTGGTCCTCCACCATTAGGAAATTCATTATGGATCGCATCATCAGTCATCGGGAGCTGGACATTGATGTGGATGAGCCAGACAGTGACTTCACGGACGCACTGCTGAAGAGTTTGGTGGAGGACAAGGATGTCTCACGCAACACAATCATCTTTATGCTGGAGGACTTCATTGGCGGCCACTCGGCTGTGGGGAATCTGGTGATGCTGGCGCTGGCCTACATAGCCAAGGATCCGCAGGTGGGCAGCCGGATACAGGCCGAAGTGGATGCCATAACCGACAAGGGGCAGCGTCGCATCAATCTGCTGGATATGAACCGGATGCCCTACACCATGGCCACGATCTTTGAGGTGCTGCGGTACTCCTCCTCGCCGATTGTGCCGCATGTGGCCACCGAGGATACTGTGATCTCTGGCCATGGCGTCACCGCTGGCACGATTGTTTTCATCAACAATTATGTGCTCAACAAGAGCCCAGAGAACTGGATAGATCCACATCAATTTGAGCCGCAAAGGTTCCTCGAGGAATCCAACAAAGACAGTCGAGACTCGAGGGGCTCCGATTCGGGCATCGAAAGTGATCGCAAGGAGTTGCAACTGAGGAAGAATATTCCACACTTTCTGCCCTTTAGCATTGGCAAACGGACATGCATTGGCCAGAATTTGGTGCGAGGATTTGGCTTCCTGCTGTTGGCCAATCTACTGCAGAGCTACAATGTATCCAGCGAGGATCCAACCACAATTAGCATCACGCCTGCCAGTCTGGCGCTGCCCGCCAAATGCTTTCCCTTGCTGCTGACACGTAGGACATAGATGCGTTGGGTTCTAGGCAGTATGAAGTTGTTTTTTATATTTGGCTATAACTTGCAAAAACTTGGGAGCAGCGGCACATCCTTAAAGGACGCAAAAACTTACGAGCTAATCGATGGCTTACAAATCTAGACAGAGGAGCCACAGTGCGGAGACCATGCGGAATCCCTCGGGCATGAAATCCTAAGCATAAAACTAATATTTAAAATTAAAAATAATTATAAATAAAGAATAATTAGACTTTGCTGCAGTTGAGATACATTTTATCTTGTATCGAAAATATGTTAAATATTGCCACAAATTTCTTAGACTGAATGCGAGAGAGATTCCCTCCTGGAAACTGCCTTCTGGCACTGTGGCACTCACATTTTACTCAGACTCTAATTCATTCTCAATGTCCTTCCATCAATTAAATGTTTTATATCATTTATGTGTATGTATTTACATATTTTTGTTTTGTGTGTTTCTTTTAGAAATCCTTGGACAAATGTCAAATGTCGAATCAGGCGCTTAAATCCTAGCCATTAATAATAAATCTGTTAAGAATTCCTATATATAAATGCGTTTTGTTCACATGATTAGTCCGTAAAAAAACAATTTGATAAAACAAATCACGATAAAGGGGGGGCGAGAGAAAAAGAAAACCAGCAGCAGGTTTTTGGGGCGAGAAAAATGAACTAAAATTATTTGCTAATTAAAAGAAGATTGAAGATCGATCAGGGAGCTTAGTCTGTCTGCTATTGACTCTCCACCAGCAGCTGCTCCTCCCCCAGTGGCTCCTCTTTGATCTCGAGCTTCACTTCGTCCGCTCGCGGCGTGGAGCCACCATCCAGATCGAGTGTCTTGGGCAGCGGTCCTATCTTTTGCAGTATATCCACTGGCATAATCTCCCGTATGGTGGGCACCGGCTGCACCGTAAACGTGGGCAGTGGCGGTGGCGTAAAGAACGGCACAGGCGATGGTGTGGCAGAGGCAATGACATCAGGCACTGGCAGCACAGGAATTGGCAGCAGGCCGGGACTTGGCGCAGGCATCATCGGCGCAGGCTGCGGATAAGTGTGGTAGGGATGCGCACCCAGCACGGGTATGGGCATGGACACAGGCGGGGAGGATGGCGGCGGTCCACTCAGGAAGTAGGGCACTCCATTGTGCATGGGCATGGGCATGCCGCCCTCGTGCATCATCAGCGGCGTACGCATCGGCATTCCCATGGGCATTCGCATGGGCCCAGGCAGGGAAATTCCCATGGGCAGACGCATGGGCATTCTCAGCTGCATTCGTGGTGTTGGCGGCGGATGTTTGCTGAAGTACTCCTTAAGCATGGCCGCCTTGGTGGCGGCATCTGCATTCGGTGGCAATAGAGGCGGACGGTGGCGCAGGAATCCATGCGGCAGTGGCGGCAGGCGGCCCGTCTTCACGAGCATCTCAAAGTGCTTGCGATCGAAGCGCGGCACGGGCGCACGCATCACGCGTGAGTGGGACATCACAATCTCACGCTTGAGCGGATCCAGGTGGAAGTAGCGCATCTTTGACTTCTTTTGCACGAGCACCGCCTTCTCTTGGTCCGGGGGCATAGGCGTCACGGGCGGCGGTGGCGGTGGTGCGGCGAGCAGCTCATCCCGCAGACGCTGCAGCCTAGCGGCTGCCTCAGCGCGTCGCTGCTGATACTGCTGCATGGCACGCTCCACGACGCGGCTGACAATCACTCGATCCTCGCCATCGCTCTCATAATTCGGCTTGACGCTGTCCACAAAGCTGACGCGCTTCTTGGGTTTCCTGTGGATACAGATTAGAGAAGCAATTCAAAGGGTTTATTTTGAGTCTCTCTCGCTTACCTGTCTTCTGCCTCGCTTTCGTTGTTTGTGGGCACAATTTCCAGCACATTTCCCTTACGCACAGCCACAGACATCGCCGCAGGCACAACAGAAGCTACATCTTTGATCTCCTCAGGCTCCAGCTTGATCGGCTTCGTGTCCAGCAGCTCAGCATCCGGTGTATGCGCTTTGGGCAGTTCACGCAGCACCGGCGATGTCTCCATGAGAGCACCATACTCCCCATAGACACCTGCGGGAATGTCCATGGCTTCGCTGAGCTGCGCGTACGCCTGCTCCATGCGATACGCGGAGTCTATGTAGGCCGCATAGGTGTCGTAGTCCTCGCCCGTTGTCTCGCCATGCAGCAGCGACATGTTGTAGTAGTAGGCAGCCGCCTCCAGGCTCTGATCCTCCCCAAAGTAGTCCGCAAACTCGCGCTCCTCCCGCCGTCCGTCGAAGGGCGAGCGGGAGCGTGATATGCTGTTGGAACGCGTCCTGGAGTGTGATCTTCGCCTGGTGGGTGAGCGGGAATGCGAATGGGAGGAGGACCAGCTGCGACGCATGGGCGGCGATGGTGGCCTAAACGGCAGCGGCGAACGCTCCCGCTCGCGGCTGTACGAGCGCCGCCGATGCACTTTGGGAGAGCGTGGTCTGAGCGGCTTCACGGGACCTGGCGACACGGAGACACGTCGTCGGCTGGCACCCAGCTTCTGGAATCGCTTTCTGCTGCGCTTTGGACTCCTGCTACGCGTCCGACTGCGACTCACGCTCTTGCTGTGACTCCGTTTGATGGTCGGCTTTTTCGCCAAGCGAATGCCGCGTCGTGGCGAAGGGGGACGCCAGCGTGGACGGGGACTGGGCGAGCGGGAGGAGTCCTTCACTCTGTTGGGTCGCACACTGCTGCGCCGAAAGAAACGCTCTCGGTTCCGGGAGTGCGATCTCGAGCGAGTTCGCTCTCTGCCCGTCGTGCTGCGTGGAATCCTCGGCCTGTTGCGCGTCTCCACAATTGTGGGCTTGACAATGGCAATCTCCTTGGGTCGCCGCACATTTGTGCCGATTTGTGGGCGCAGTCCCTCCTCCAGTTTCACCTTGACGGCATGCTGCTGCTGCTGCTGCTGCTGCGGATGCTCCGTCTCATCGTTGTCAAAGATTGCGGGCTTACGGGTGAGCTTCAGGGGCGAAAGTGTCAGCTTGATGGCCTCCCGATTGTCATCGAAGATGCTGTTCACGGGCGTGGGCGAGCGCGGCTCCTGCTTCTGCTGCACCTCCTGCTGGGATTTCAGTTCCTGCTTGCGATACTTGTCCATGATGGCATTTCGCTGCATGAGGAACAGCGACTCCATCTTGAGCAGCTCCTCAGAGATCTCATCACCCGAATCGTAGTTCTCGCGCATCATTTGTATCCGCGCCAGATTGTCCTCGAGGCTCTTGAGTTTACGCAGATCTTTGCTCACATTGTTCTTCTTTTGTTGCAGCTGCAGCTGCTGCTGCTGCTCCTTTTCGGGTGGATCCTCCTCGATAAGTGCTGTCTCTGCGGAAAGTTGTTCTACCTCCTCCTCCTTCTGCACAGCATCATCTTCTTCCTCCTCCCCTTCTTCTTCATCGTCATCCGTTGTGCTCGACTCTTCTTCGTCGTCGTCGGAGCTGCTGCTGCTGGTCGACTCGGATTCGGACCCAGAGGATGTCTCAGTCTCGGCAGTGGAATTGCTTAAGGAACTATTTTTGGAGGCTGCCGTCTGCCCCTCCTCGCTGGACATATTAATACTATTCATAAACTTGTCATAAATGTTCACCAGATGCTCCTGATTGGCGCCACCGTCCAATGGAATGGCTGACTGCCTCTGCTTTGCCTTTGGCGGCGGCGTGCTCTTGGCATTCCACAGATCATTCGTGTCATCCTCATTCGAATCGCCGCTAATTGTTGCCTCATCGATGGAGGAGGTCAGCGGGCGCACAGCAGCCGATGGTGGCGCCGTGGCAGCTGCTGCCGTTTTGGGCATGCTGCTCAAGGAGTCATCGTTCTCCCAGTTGTCGATGTAATCGTCCGTGTCGGGACTCTCCTGCTGCTCCGCCGCGACTGTGGCTGTCGGTGGCGGTGCATTGGCTGCCACAGCGCCATTCCGCACCAGCACCTCCCGCTCCGTGTCCAGAGGCGGCGTCACATTGCGCTCCAACTTGATGCGACTCACATCGATCATGGGCATAGGCAGCGGTGTGGGGGAGATGTTTCTCTCAATCTTTATGCTAACTTCTTTGTACTCTTCGCTGCGTTGCCTTTCCCGCGACTGACTACGGTACGGCCAGGCGTTGCCTCCATTTCCGAGAGAACTGGCCGCTTGAGACGTTGATTTTCGCTCTTTTAATACTGATTCCTGCTTCCGGAAGGGATTAATGCGACGCGGCACCACCTGATTAAGATCTGCGGACTCCCAGTCGCTGTTGAGCGGCGCCTGCTGCTGCTGCATCTCAGCTTTAATCTCCATTTTGGGCGCCTCTTTTCGCTCCTTGTGCTCGTTGGTGCGGCGCAGCAGCTGCTCCTTGGTGGCCAGCAGCGCCTCCAAGTGCAGATCATTATCCTCGAGCAGCGCGCCAATGCGACTGTGTATCTCGCTGGCCTTCAGCAGCGGAGCTGCCTTGTTGCTGGCTGTCACTGGTGCTACAATCAGAGGCGGGGTCGTACTTCGCTGTGGAACGGTGGCTAGCTGTGTGGCAGTGTGCAGTCTTGGCGGGGATTCAGCGAATATATCCAAGCCTCTTGGCTTCTCATCCAAGTCACTGGCATCCACGTCACTGGTAGCAGCGGCTGGAGGCAGCAGGAAATCGCGTGGAGGCGTCAATGGTGGCGTTCTATCCTCACTCTCAGGCGAATGATTTCTGCTGCGGCTGCGTGTTTTCGTGCGCTCATGCTTCTTGTCCCTGGGAGGCTTCTCCTTCTCCTTTGAGGATACACTTGGCTTCTCCTTCGAGGATACGCTCGGCTTCTCCTTCTCGGATCCACTTAGCTTCTCCCCCGCACGCTCCCTGGACTTGTCATCCTTTGAGCTCTCTTTGGAACACTTTGCAGTGGATTTTTCCCTTGAACGTGGCCTTGGCCTGTTGTCCTTGAATGCTTCTCGTTGCCTTTCAGCTGATTGTTCGCGCTTGCCATCCCTCGAGCGTGGCTCTTTGGGATCTCTGTCCCTATGATTGTCCTTTGAGATATCTCTCGATCTCTCTGCATGATTTGTGTGCACATCTCTGGAGCTCTCTTTCGGTCGCCTCACATCATTCTTGTCATCTTTTGATTTTGCCAGTGGCATTTCGTTCGGCTTTGTCTCCTTCGATTTTGCTCGATGCCTGTCCTTGGATATCTCCCTATGCCTGTCGTTGGATATTCCTCTGGTCAGTTCCTTGGGCATATCTCTGGGCTTTTCCTTTGATCTTTCTCTGAGCTTATCCTTGGATCTTTCTCTGGTCCTTTCCTTGGTTCTTTCTTTGTGCCTTTCCTTGGATCGTTCTCTGCGCCCCTCCATAGAGACATCTCTAGACTTTTCCTTAACTTTATCCCTAGATTTCTCCTTCGATTTATCTCTCAACTTCTCCTTGGATTTGTCTCTAGACTTCTCCTTCGATTTATCTCTCGACTTCTCCTTGGATCTATCCCCATGCTTCTCCTTGGACTTTTCCCTCTGCTTATCCCTTGAACTTTTCCTATTTCGCTCCTTGGTCGATTCCCCATTCTTCTCCTTGGATTGTTCGCCATTCTTCTCATTGGCTGCCTTTTCCTGGTGCTTGCCCTTGCTCAGTGCATCGCTGGCAGGTTCTTTGGACTTGAGTGTATGCTGTGGCTTCTTGGCAGTTGTCTCCGCCTTCTCCTGGCAGGCCTTGTGCTGGGCAATGGTGCAGTCTGACACCAGATTAAAGTTGAACTGAATGGGCGGCTCCGTTGTCGTCCAGCTGCGATAAATCCAAACAGATTATAAACCTAAATATTCCCCCACTAATAATTTAAATACATACTCCAAGTCGGACTTCAATTGCTTGCCGGATACCGTGCTGCTCCCGGAGGGTCCTTGCGCAGAGGGCGGCAATGCCGGGCCGTAGGAACCTGACGGCGGTGCGCCACTCATATTGGGCGCTCCCATGCGGCTGGGTGGCCGATTGAAGAAGGGAGGACGCATGCGTAGTCCGCCTCGCGGCATTCGCGGCAGGAATCCCATGCGTGGAAACTCACAGAACGGCGGTCGCATGTGAAACCGCAACGGATTGTGGCCGATAAAGGGTGGGCCGACAGGTGGGGCAGCCTGGGGCATGGCTGCGGCCGCTGCCTCCGCTTGCTTCTCCTTCCTCGCCTGCTGCACATCCTCCACATTGCGCTGCTCCTCGCCCGAGGAGTCCGTGTCCGAGTACAAACCTTCACTGTCATCTGGGTCCTCGGAGGGCGCACGAGTCGTTCCATTTTCCAGTGCCCGCGGCGTGCTGCTCGTCCTCTCCTTGCGCCGGCTGCCAACATCCCGCTGCTCCAGTAGAGCACGCACCTTGCCACCGTCCGTATCGATTTGTGCCAGCTTGCGCAATGTTTTGCTCTTCGCGTCCTTGGCTGGAACTTTCTTCTGAGCGGGACTCATAGCAGCGTCGTCGTGGTTGAGGTGGGGCGGTGTTACCACCTCGCCCGGCTCCAGGCTGCTGGTGTCACCATCTTGCAATTCATCGATTGCCCTTATGTGAAGCTGCTGCGGCGGCGGCTGCAGGTCCCTGCTAAGAAGACATCCATGTGCTCCTGAGTCACCTCTGGCCACTGCTGCTGCTGCAGTTGCCGTCGTTAGTGACATACTTTCATCCAATTTGTCGGTGGCCTCGAAACGTTTTTGTTTAGAACACACACGCTTTTTCTTTCAATGGCGGCGGCGCCGCGTTGTTGTCGCTGGGTTGGTCCACGCTGTAAGGCGATATGGTTAAGGTACAATCAATGCGACTGCGGATTACGGACCGACGTCATCTATTGCAGATCTCCAACCACCTCCGCAGGTTCCGGTTCATGTATTAAATTTATGTTTATGCCATTATCAATCAATTAAAAAGCAGAGCCAGGTCGATGTTGATATAATAACAGTGTGACCGCGGAATTTTTGATAAAACATACCACGGGACACACTTAAGAAATATACCAAAATATATTGCGCTCGTATCTGTGTGGTAGTTCGACTGGTTCGTGGGTGAATTTTTAATGATCTAAAACTGTTCTTTCTTAAATTGTTTAGATGGTTTTGCAAATATCTTTTAATATTTTACACATTTCTTACTAACTTTAACTGTCACTTGTTTTGCACTTAACATCACCATGTTAACAGAGTGTATTTCTGCGCGTAACAGCACCATGTTAGCGAACGTGCTGCCGCGCACTACAGCACACAAAGCCAGCCTCAAAGCGTTGCCACATCTCCATAAATCTATTAACATTACACATTTAATTTATTTTTCAAACTTTTGTAAATTTTACCCACGACTTTTATGACTTTTACATGCATCACGAATTTTCGCTATTCATAAACTGTGTGAAACGCAATCAAATCAAACCGAAATGCAGTCGGCAAAACGCAAACTCCACTTATTTCCGCTTCCTGCTGCCGCCTGTGCGAGCGAGCGGGGGGTCGGTGCACTCAAATGCGAAGTGCAAATAAATGACAAATTACAAATTACAATTACCGTTGGGCCTGCTGCACCCAAAGCACACATAAATATGTTACTCAAGCGAAACGCTTGGAAAAGCCGCAGCACCGCACAAAAGATTATGACATTGCCCAGCGGCTGAGCGGGCAAGGACGGAGGGGGATTGGGCGGTTGGGTGGAGAAAAGGTTTGCCTGTGGCTTAAAAAACAAAAAATAAATAAAAGTAAAAGAAGAGAGCGCCTCAAATTGTCTTTGGATGCTGCACTTTTTGCCCGCCCCGTCACGTCATGTGTCTATCTTCGTGCCTCCAACACCAACCCCCCACCCACGGCAGAGCTTTTCTTTCATTGTTGATTTGCATGCAACTTTCTCCGACGGCTGCTGGCCACACGACAGCTGCTGCAGCCACTGCGCAGCGGCAGAGTACAGACAGCGACAGCGACAGCGACACTGGCAGAGGCAGAGGCAGAGGCGAAAGGTGCAAATTAATTCGCGGCGCCCCACAATAACCTTCCTCACTCTGTCTGCTCGCTGGTCTCTTCCCTCATTACTATCGCTGTAATCTGTTGCTCCCCAAACTATTTTTGCGTTTTCTTCTTCTCAGCTTTGTCACAAGTCAAGAGTCTCAAGGGAGAAAAAAAGAGAGACGACACCCGAAATGCGACTTGTTATCGCATCTTGAAAAATCTTGAAAAAACACACAGTCCACCATTGTTTGGGAACGTGTCGAAAAATCAACTGGAATGGTTTGGGATGTCCCCGAACAAACGCCTCGCTGCCCTGCCTGCCTGACTTGCTGCCAACCAGCCAACCCCCATTGTGTCTGATCTTCAAGCAGGGCGGGGTGGGATTGATGCTTTGACTTTACTTTGGAGGCGACCACGAGACCTCACAAATTTGGCACCTGGGTGCGAAAGCCTTGACGGACTGTTGAGGGATCTTGCTTTGTCCTGAAATTGAGACGGAAGCCAAAGGTGTTCAAGGTGAGACAATAAGTTCCACATTGAAAGTACAACACAACACACAAAAGATTGATTCTTTGCTCTCAACAGGTTACAATAATCCATTAATTTATGAATTATTTTAGTAGTCTTAAAATTCCTTTAAAGTAATGTTGGGTTTTCATCATATTTCTATAATTTGTAGAATGTACCGCACTTCCTCTAGGCCGCCACAACACAACTCTCTTGCCCATTAACATTTTTTTAATGCCACATTTAGCCAAAAATGTATGGCTACAAACGTAGTTAATTTTCCTATAAACTCGTACACGCACACACAATTTAGATACGACTTTGTACATATTTTTCATGAGTAGTCTAGGCAATTAATACCCGCCCGAGAAGCGTTAAAAGCGCAACGCTCAATGGACATTGAGGGCGTCGGTACGGCACTCTGTTTGTGGCTGTGACAAATGAGAGCGGTAAATGGTAAATGGTGGGATGGTAAATGGTGGAGTCGTAGATGCTAAGGTGGAAAATGCTGTTGGCCAGCGGCAAGGTACCAATTCAAAAAGCCCCACCAGCACCACCACACAGAAATGACGACGAGTCATTGACATTCGCTGCGATCCAAGCTTGAACTAGAAAACTAACAAATCCGCCATTCGAAAAAAATAAAATGTGATAATTGCAATGTAAAGTAAAAGAGAGAGGGAGTGAAGAGTAAGAGATGGAGGGAGAGTGAGTGAAAGAGATGAAAAGTCACTATACTCCTAGGTCTATAATATTTACTGAAGGTTCTAGAGAGCATTTTGAAGTGTATTTTAGAAGGTAAACTCTTGGATAGACATCAGGCATTTCGAAAATAAACACTTGTTTAGATTTAATTGTTACTTAAGCTATCAGAATGGCGCGGAACAGCTGCCCATAACTCGGTAAATGCTGCTACCATATTTTTCCTATCTTTTAATGCACTATAAATGGTACAACTAAATTATATATTGCCAATTAAATCAACCGCAGTCAGAGTATAACCCAAACCCAAACTATTTCCAGCACGAACATTTCCATAGTACGAATCTTATACAGGTACACCCCAGCACAACCATACAACAACAGAGGTATGGTTAGATCGTTCAAAACAGAAGCGTCGCTAATTGGCAATATTTAGAGAGACAAAAACAGAGAGAGAGCTGGAGGGGCCGGAGAAAGAGAAAAAAAGAGGTGAAGAGCAACCGCAAACAAATCCGAAAACAGCACGGAATGATCTGTAGATCTTCCTCGTCAATTTACGGGCTGCTGCTGTACAGACAAAAACTTCTTTTGTTCCTATCCAAATTGGCTTAATTTTTATGAGCATGCTTTGATGAGGAGATGGAGGGTTACAGTTGGGGTTTTCTAACATTAAGGTGTTAATCGACGGTCGCACGTTCGTTCCAATAGCCCGGACACACGAACAACGGGGGCAAAACGATGATAAATTCTTAGAACGCAGTTTCTGTATGATCGCGAGAGAGGGGAAAAGAATATATAGAAACAAGTGGCAGTGGAAGAGTTAATAATACGACTGAGGGATACCTAAACTAATAAACTCTTAGATGTGTGATCCTTTGGCATATATATAAATATAATAAATATAATCCGTTTTATAAAGATAATAAATATGCACTTACCTTTGTACACTACGTGTACTGTTGGGGGGTATACAATATAAATATAAAATCCCCGTGGAAGTCATCTTTGAACAGTTGAAAATTCATTTGTAATTACTCGCCGCTTCGTTCACTCTCCCGTGACCACAACTCCCAAGCCAAATGCGATTGAAATTGTACTGGTATTTGCCGCGGGTAATAGGAAGTTGGTCTGTATCCCACTAATGAAGTAAGGAAAATATTTATAATTAATGAAGTGAAATCTCAAGTGAATTTATGGGGGAATCTAATTAGAAACTAGCTCTCATATCATTAAGGAATATGCACATGTAGAAATGATTATTATTCATTTAATTGGTAGAAGATGCTGCAGTTCGTTTTAACACCTGACTATAAAAGCAAAACTGATAAAAACATAGAATTAATTAATATGTGATTGCCATTACGCATTTTGCCATCATTTTTGCATCTAAACTTCACTCCACTTGCAAACCCATCTCTGATCTAACCATCAAAGTCCGCCCTGCCCATATAATTGTTTATATCTCTTCTTTTCTCCGTATGTTCGTAACTTTATTTGGCTGGGTTTATTTTGGTTTGCTTGTTTACCTTTATTTTTGGGTTTTTGTTTGTTGCTTTTTCTATTTTTTTCTATTTTTTTTTTTATTGTTATTAGCTAATTTTAGCCAAAAGCCAAAATGGCGACGAGACGACGACCAGAGCTGCGCGCTAACGATCGAAAACTTTTGTAGTCTTGTAGTTGTCGGATATACCCTTAAGCAGCGGGTATTAGGGTTTATGGGAGATATTCATGGGTCAAAAACAGAAGGGACGAATCTACGGAACGACTGTCTACGACTGTCTACCTTTTAAATTACTTTTTTCCCCTTTCTAGAACCCTCTCCCTGCTCTCAATTTCTCCCTCATCTCGTAATATTCCATTTGTAAGAGCATCAACAGCTTCTACTACGACTCAAGTCTCCATTTTCCGACCTTTTTTTGTGGCTATTATTTATGAGATTTTTTTGTGATTTGTTTCGATTTTATTTTGCACATGCACAAACCTCAGTTATTAGGCAGCGGCGTCTCATTGTATCTTCGAGATACTCGCATGTATCTCTGGGTATCTGTCTGTCTGTCTGTCTGTGTGTGTATCCGTTCGATGGCTGCATTGAATTTGCTTTTCGTTTTTGCTCGTTTTGAGTTTTTTGTTTTTGCTGCTGCTGTTTCCATTTTACACAATTCCCAAGCCTAAGACCGGTGCCACGTCTCCGCTTGGTACCTCAGCAGGGGCCCCCTCACTCTCCCCCGTATCTCCACAGCGGTTTCAGCCGGTGCTCGAGTCGTAGATGTTGTATCTGTAGCCAAAGCCGGGTGCCAATTTGCGAGTCAAGCCTAGCGCATCTTTCAGCTCTAAGCTTGGATAGAAATGTTTACGGTCGGTGTGCAAAAACAAAAATCAAACACACAGAAAAACCCCCGCAAATCGTACAGCCCGAGGAGAACCCTTCCCGGAATGGTACGAATGGCTGGAGACAATCTATAAAAATATCTATAGCTAAAGCTCTCTACAATTAGCATCTGCCACACACTTGCTAATTGAAACGATTCTATAAATGTGACATTACTTTTACGACTTTTAACGATTACAAAAATATTTCCAGTAATTGAATAAAGATTTTATATGGAAATAGAGACCTTCTTGATAAGCAGAAGGACAGAGGCGTGGGCCAAGGGGCACACTAATTCCCGGAATAAATTCGTATTAGATCTGGCCCCCACCTCTTATCGTCAAAGTCATTGGAATTGGAAATATTTCGAATGTTGTTTTGTTTCTAGAAAAATA